TAATCTTAAAAGCAATATTACAGGAAAGATAAGGTAATAAAGAGGAAAGGAAAGATAACTTATTTATACTTGAAATAAAATTTGCATATACTATATTTTTATAGAGAATTATAAAAAAAAAAGGCAGTTTAGTTTTCTCAATTTCGTATACACATAAATACGCATGCACGAAATATAAAAGTATTTCTGAAAATAAACAGAAAAGAATTGATTGCTTATGCTTGAAATAAAATTTGCATATTCTATATGTTCATAATTTTTATCAGTATAATAAAAAATGAAGAAAACAGATTAAGCAATATACATACACATACATATACAAAATGTAACAATATTGTTTTCATGAAACTATTCATTCATTATTCAGTCCTCGCAACAAAAATCTAAATTTCTCCGAGTAAAACACATATGACTTAATAATCAACGTTACATAATAGCACAAAATAAATTTGCAAAAATCGCATAATTTTTATAGCAATCACGCTCTACAGGTAGTGAAGAGTACAAGCATGAAGGTAAATTTTATTTCACCTCTTTATCCCATTCGGTTCCAAAGATACGAATCTTTAAAGCGGAACATTTATATTGCGCGCATTGTTGAATGGCAGTCGAAATTCCGGGAAACGCTCTGACCTAGATTTTTTTCCTGGAAACGCGTACGTCGCTGATAGTAATAGTAGTAGTGGCGGCATTAGTAGCAAAAAAACGCTGACGCAGCGTCTGTCACTGACCACTATACGCCAGCCGAGCACAGGGTAGGTCACGTGAACGTGCGAGCGAGAGGTCCGAGTGTGCGAGCGAGCGAGAGAGAAACAGCGAAGTGCTCGAAATTGCGCGCCTCTTCGTACGATAATATCTCGGGAACGGAAAGTGGTATCGGGATGAAACAAAAACCATTTTCAAGAGCAGAGTTTCCTGCTTCTAACTCTGGGCGTAATTATATCCTGGGTTTTTTAGGGAAATCTGTACAGGATATTGAATATCATCTAGGTTTTTCGTAGTTTCAGCTACTTCGAATAATGACAGGAGCTGCTTGACTAATTGAAAAAGATTT